CAGATTTACACGAGGTATCAAGTTTGACGAGACAAAATTTGCTTCTAAATTTTACAACAAATTTATGTTTTTTTTTATTACTGTAATTTCGAACACATTGAAGTATTGAAATATTAGTGTAATTTCTCATTTTTGAAAGCATTGAAAAACAGATTTCTTACATTTTCTAAATTTGACTTTTCCTCTGAAACGTTTCTTATATTCTTCCTTTTGTCCTTTACTGCTAAACTGCTCCTTCCTTCAATTTACATATGTACATCTTTTGTCTTCAGTGGAATCTTTCTGACAGACTACTTTAGGCAGTCCAGTGCAGCTATTGTTTAAATCGGGCAATTTCGTGAAAAACACGAAAGCTAAATCGTGTTCCTTTCAACTACCTCTTGTGTTATACCACGTACCACGGACTCATCGTGTACATATCTCCCATGTGCATTGTCGAATTTCTTTCATATTTTGCAAGCTAATTTTATCAAGAATTTATTATATTCAATATTTTATTGTATTACTTATGACATATGGTTAGTGGAAGGAAGGAACGCGATAGAGAGAGAGAGAGAGGGGAGAGAGAATTGAAGGAAGAGGAAGAGGAAGAAGCGCGTTTCTGGGCCTTCTATAGTCTGACCAAATGTATTGGTCGGTCAAGGTCACTTCTCCTCTATTTGAAATGGATGATTCAAATAAAAGTTTCAGATATATCTCGAATAGACGAAAGAACGTCTTTACCATGCGAATAGCTCTTGGGAACTGTTTTCTGGACATCTAAAAAGAGAAAGCTGGGGTCCTCTTATACCCACAAACTGTTTGTACGATTGTATCGCAGTGTAGAGTGTCTTTACACTAAGACGAACTTCAGACACATTTGGTGGTACTCCTAGCGTCTCTGTTTAGAAAAAAAAAAAAGAAAAAAAGTTGAGACATTTTTGTTTAGCGTCTTTAGAAATAATCCAACATCCTCCGTTGCTTTTTCACACCGACGAACCTTCCGAGGATTCTAAGATTCTAAACAGTTCACTTTTTCAAACTGTATACACCCGACACTACGAAGAAATTAACCCATTCCCCGGAGGAGAAAGAAGAACACTAATTCGCTAACTGTTGTTTCGTAAATGATGCACGGATCGAAACACATTAAATACCATTTCAGTCTCCAGGGTGTGGAGCGCGTTATTGAATCGAGTAGTCATCGAGCTGCATCGGCCTGTGCGGCTGTTTGATCTATATCGCTATCTCGAAATCGGTTACACGATTAGCGCCTCGTCAAGAGCAATACCGCCTATGTGACTCGTAACGAGCCCGATTATCGACGTTGAACGGTCCAGTTTATTCTCGCGTTCGAGCTATACTTGCGCTTTGGCACGATCGCGAGCTAATTCTTAGATTTTTCAACACTGTTTCTTGTCGTTCGAATTCGGAGATATGTCATTTTAGAACGTGGTTCAGTTCTTTAATTTCATTTTAGAGTATAAAATGTGTACAGCGTGAATTGTGTATAGGTGAAAAAAGGTTTAGGATTATTTTAGTTGAGATTTTCCACCGTTTCTTATAAGGAGGATGTTTAAAAAAGGCCAATTTTGGCATACGGCCGGAACGAAACATTTTTTTACAGCATGATTCTACGCATCCTGAGGAACGAAAAATGTAATTGTCATTTTTTCCGGAAATGATGGGAAAGTTATGAAAAATGCGGTTCAAGGTAAGAGTATGACCATACTTGTAACTTACATAGGTATTCCGTTTCGTTTCCTTCGGTCGATGGTCTGTTCGTAAATTAACCACTCAGAAACTCATACTGAGTATTATTTACAAAGCTTGTTGTACATTAGGACTCGTCCTCAGTCGGTGTTTACGAGGCTGTCGAACGAGTGCCACGACGAACGTCGCTTATACTGCGCGATTCTAGTCTTGTAGGGAATACATCATTATACGCGGATTTCCAATCAATTTACGTACTTAGCATATTCGTTCGTGTGAATTAAGTGCCGCTGCATACAAGCGGCTAGTGCACCGAATTCAAGTACACAACGAACAGCTCAGCTTGGGAGAAAAATCAAACGAGAAGCGTGCCTCTGCGAGCTACACAGTTACAGTTTCACAGTATGTGTATGCGTGAATAATATGTATGTAATTGAAAATAGAGGAGAGCCTACGTATAGCTAATTAGATCAATTACTGCAACAATTTCGTTTTATCGTATCCTAAGTTTATTTTTCTTGTAATAAGATGTGTTATAGCTATGAAACAACAACAAATTAGTTTTTTTTACTG